TGTATCCTCTTCTGTACAACTTTATCCTCTTCCATACAACTTTATCCCTTTCATACAACTTTATCCCCTCTGCTACAACCTTATCCCTTTTCATACAATGTTATCACCTTCCACACAACTTTATCCCTTTCTATACAACTGTATCCTCTTCTGTACAACTGTATCCTCTTCTGTACAACTCTATCCCTTTTCGTACAACTTTATTCCCTCTCATACAACCTTATCCCTTTTCATACAATTTTATCACCTTCCACACAACCTTATCCCTTTCCATACAACTGTATCCTCTTCTGTACAACTTTATCCCCTCTCATACAACCTTATCCCTTTTCATAAAATGTTATCACCTTCCACACAACTTTATCCCTTTCCATACAACTGTATCCTCTTCTGTACAACTGTATCTTTTTTCGTACAACTTTATCCCCTCTCATACAACCTTATCCTTTTCATACAATTTTATCACCTTCCATACAATCTTATCCTTTTCATACAATTTTATCACCTCCCACATAACTCTATCCCTTTTCATACAATTGTATCACCTTCCATACAACCTTATCCTTTTCATACAATTGTATCACCTTCCACACAACCTTATCCTTTTTATACAATTTTATCACCTTCCACACAACTCTATCCCTTTTCATACAATTTTATCACCTTCCATACAACCTTATCCTTTTCATACAATTTTATCACCTTCCACACAACTCTATCCCTTTTCATACAATTTTATCACCTTCCATACAACCTTATCCTTTTCATACAATTGTATCACCTTCCACACAACCTTATCCTTTTCATACAATTGTATCACCTTCCACACAACCTTATCTTTTTCCATACAACTGTATCCTCTTCTGTACAACTTTATCCCTTTTCATACAACTTTATCCTCTCTGATACAACCTTATCCCTTTTCATACAATTTTATCACCTTCCACACAACTTTATCCTTTTCCATACAATTGTATCCTCTTCTGTACAACTGTATCCTCTTCTGTACAACTCTATCCCTTTTCATACAACTTTATCCCCACTCATACAACCTTATCCCTTTTCATAAAATTTTATCACCTTCCACACAACCTTATCCTTTTCATACAACTGTATCCTCTTCTGTACAACTCTATCCCTTTTCATACAACTTTATCCCCACTCATACAACCTTATCCCTTTTCATACAATTTTATCACCTTCCACACAACTTTATCCCTTTCCATACAACTGTATCCTCTTCTGTACAACTCTATCCCTTTTCATACAACTTTATCCCCACTCATACAACCTTATCCCTTTTCATACAATTTTATCACCTTCCACACAACTTTATCCCTTTCCATACAACTGTATCCTCTTCTGTACAACTCTATCCCTTTTCGTACAACTTTATTCCCTCTCATACAACCTTATCCCTTTTCATACAATTTTATCACCTTCCACACAACTTTATCCTTTTCCATACAACTGTATCCTCTTCTGTACAACTCTATCCATTTTCATACAACTTTATCCCCACTCATACAACCTTATCCCTTTTCATACAATTTTATCACCTTCCACACAACTTTATCCCTTTCCATACAACTGTATCCTCTTCTGTACAACTTTATCCCTTTTCATACAACTTTATCCCCTCTCATACAACCTTATCTCTTTTCATACAATTTTATCACCTTCCACACAACTTTATCCCTTTTCATACAACTGTATCCTCTTCTGTACAACTTTATCCTCTTCCATTCATACAACTTTATCTCTTTCCATACAACTTTATCCTCTTCCATCCAACTTTACCCTCTTCCGTACAATTTTATCGTCTCACACACAACTTTATTCCTTTCCATACAACTTATCTGAGAATTATTCTTGCCATTCCAGTCAACATCCGGGCTATGCCAAGGGAATTTTTTCTCCACAGTCAACTTCTCCATCATCTAAGGAAACTGTCTAAACACACCCCCCCCCCCGAGATGCGGCAGCATGAAATTTTGCATCGGGTGGGGGATATGTGCACCAACCCTGCGCCAGGTCCAGGACATGCTCCCCTTAACAATTTTTAAATATAGACCATCTGAAACACTATTTCCTGCATTTTGTGAGAGGGACATTTTCATCTTCAACACACATTTACATTCCCACAAACTTTCCACTTCAGCGTCACATATTCCAGCACCACTTCAGAATCCCATACAACTTGATTCTGTTCCTTTTCAAGAAGTCTGACGCCAGACCAAAAAGGATTTCAGTTGGACCATCATTCATTGTCCATACCGGTTCACAACATGTCATTTTAATACTAGTAATTCACTCGCTTGTCCATAAACATGTGCAAATGCATGAACTATTTTATTACGCTTAATGTCATATTTCTGATTTAAACCAATTCAGAACTATTTTTTTATGCTCAATGTCACATTTTTGATGTAGACCAATCCAGACCTATTTCATTACGCTCAATGTAACATTTCTGACGTAAACCAGCCCAGAACTATTTTATTAAGCTCAATGTCACATTTCTGAGGTAGACCAATCCAGAACTATTCCATTTTTACTTTCATTAATATGACATACAGGTAAAACATACACATCTGACATCATTTACATCTTTCTCTTACTGATTGGACCACAAAATGTGATATACATTACAATATATAACCAATAAAATAAACATATAGAACAATTTATTATTTAATTTATTAACAAAATATTAATTACAAAAATATTATTAACCAACTTTTTACAATTCATTGATATAGCTATATCCCTGAAAAAAAATGTACAAATTGTACCATTAATATTATGATCCTAAATGTAAAACTAAAAATAAAACTTAAATTAAATTAACTCCCTTAATGTGGCTAAAGTATCAGTTGTTCACTTGAGTCAAGCATATATACAGACAGAATTTGATACACACAAAAACT